ACGTCTTCTTCTTAGACTGTGTCCGCAGGGAGAGGTCTGCGGTCACAGTTGAACTTCTTGGTGCAAGAAACCCTGACGGTGGGATTCTTGCTGTGCCGGATGCTATCCAGAAACCCTGACGTTAGGTTCCGGATGTTGTCCAGCAGGTCCTCTGTATCCAGGTCTCTTCGCAGGGTGGTACTTCTGACGAAGTATGGGGCCTTTGTCACTATCCTCAGTATTTTATCCTGGAATACTGCCAGTTTCTGCTTTTGCGAGGTGCTGGCTATGGACCACGTAGGAGATCCATAGGTCAGCATCGGGCGTATCAATTGCTTGTAAACTCTGGCCATCGGTGGTTTGTAGGCAGAGTTTACCTGACAGCAGAGGATAGCAGGCATGGAGCAGGAGTCTTGCCTTGGCGATGGTGTTTGCCATTTGGTCGTGCCATACTAGACGCTTGTCATAAGTCCAAGATAGGTTATCTTGGATCTCTATGGCAGCTTCTGTCTTGCAAGCTCTAGTAGGCCTCTGGGTGGGTTCTTCCTGCCTCTTGTAAATATTATGGCTTGTGTTTTTGCAGGATTGAACTCCATTTTCCAGTCCTTGCTCCATTTCATGACTTTGTTGAGCTGTCTCTGCAGTTTGGCTTGGATGGCAGGACCCTTCCCCACGGTAGTGAACGAATGAATCTACGCTGACGATGTAGCCTTCTGTGTTCTTGTTGATTGGAAGGTCCGCCATGTAGATATTGAACAGGGTAGGGGCCAGAACCGCCCCCTGTGGTACTCCTGACATCATTGACCTTGCTTGCAGAGAGCTGCTTGTCTGTTCTGACTTGGAAACTGCGTCCAGACAAGTAACTGCTGATGAGCTTGATTTGGTACCCTGGAAAGCCTGCCTTAATCATCTTGGCAATCAGGGCTTGGTGCAAAACCTTGTCAAATGCCTTAGACATGTCCAGGAAGACAGCTCCTAGACTTTTTCGGCGATTTAACACTTGTTGGATTCTCGTTGTTAGCCGGGCGGGCAAGTGTGCTTGTGCCATGGCCCGGCCTTAATCCATGTTACTCATCCAGCAGCACTTTCTTGTCCTCTATTGTATCCTGCATTTGGTACAGGATACACCTCTCGATAATTTTGCCCATCATTGGTAGTAAGCTGATGGGCCTGTAGGACGTGAGCAGTTTCCTTTTTGAGCCTTTCATCGGAACCTATACCACAATTGCCTTTTTCCTGATGTTCGGAAAGTATTGGAGGTCCAAGATTGCATTTGCCACTGTGGTTAGGTCCTCAATTGCTGCTTTCGGTAGCTTTTTGAGGACCTCATTAGAGATTTCGTCATGT